TGAATTAAGGCTTCCCAGTGGTAGCTCAGGTTGGACTAGAAATTACTATATCTAGCCCTGGCTGGCTATGATCCACTAGCCCCAACCTCCCAAATGCCAGGATTACAGCCCGTCCCACCCCATCTAGCTCCGTCTGGCAGGTCCTTGGCTGTGTGTCAGGGAGCCTGAGAGCAGTTACTGTCATTGTGGATTGACAGAAATAGGACCCCCTGGGAAGACTGGATGAGCCAGTGGCCTTGGCTTCGGTGGAGCCCCTTCTTCTCATCCTGTACTTAGTTCTGTGGAACTGGGTGGCTGCACCCCATATTAGAGCCAGTAGTGACCAGCTTGAGACAACTGAACTCTCTCCTTCCATGTCTGGCCATGCTTAGTTTCATCTATATGCCTAGATATGGGTCAAGAAGGGGCCATTCCTCCTAGGTTTTTGAGAACTTGTTGGCAAGTGACAGAAACCCAGGTCAAATGAGTTTCGTTCAAACTACGTAGTTAAATTGGTTGCTGGTACCAGGCATGGGTGAATCCAACTGCCTGCCTTTCAGTGGACTGGGACTCAAGCCCATCCCCCAGCTGATGCTCTGGGTCAGCCTTACCCTCAGACAGGTTCTCCATGGGAGAGAGATCTGTCCTCTCCCATGGAAAGACCTTCGAACTTACCAGTTCCATCACAAAGAGAAGACATCCTGCCAGTTCATGACAAATCCTCCTGCTGATTCACTGCTCTATTTCAGACCACGTGCCTGTTTGTGAACCAATCAGTTCAGGCACAGAGTAGGACAGGGTCCAGATTGGCCAAGCCTAAGCTGGTGCTGCATTAGCTCCAGTTTTAGTTACTGTTCCTGTTGCTGTGAGAATAGACCCTGAGGAAAACAGGAGAAGGGGTTTACCTCAGGTCACAGTTGGAGGGGCCAATCCATCAAGGCAGAGTAGTCAAGGCTGGAGGATCTTGAGGCAGCTGGTCACACCGAATCCAGTCAGGAAGCAGAGTGAGATGCATGCTGCTGCTCAGGTCACTTTTTCCTTAGACAGTCTAGGACCCCAGCCTACTGAACAGGGTGGCCTCCTTTTAGTGTGGGACTGCGCACCTCAGTTAACCTAATCCAGATAATCCCTTATAGTCATGTCCAGGGGCTTGTCTCCTACGGGAGTCTAGAGTCTGTCGAGCTGGTAGTAACCATCACAGATACATTGCTTGACACAAAATAACTGATCAAAGCAAAGAGATGAAAGGAACATTTTGCTTTGTGGTTTTTGAGACTCCATCATGGCAGGGGTGGCGTGGCAGTGGCCATAGACCATGACTCTGCTGTGATATCTAAAAGCCAGGCCATCAACTATCAAAGGTACCTACTGCCACTCACCAAGCCCCACCTCCTAAAGACCCCTTGATCTTTAAAATACCTCCAGCAGCCCCTGACATTTCCCACTTAACTCATACCAGACCCCCAGCTGCGAGCTGGGGCTAAAGGCAACTCTCTAAAAGGAAATTGGGAGCTCTTTCCAGAAATGAGAGAAACAGCTCTTAGGGCAAAACTCAGAGCTGCCTTGGAAGGAAAAAAGGGCATTTCCTGGGTCAGAAAGGAAGCAGAAACGACAGTCCTGGCCGTGTACCACAAGAATCCTGCACAATTTCAGAAGTGTGGGTGCCATCTTGATGCTATCCATTTCAAGTTGGGGTAGACAGGAGAGACAGGAAGCAAGCAAGAAGAACTGAGAAACCAAGTCTTGATCTACAGCCAGGCGTGGAAGGAGGAGCTTCGCCAGAAAGAGTGCCTGGACACACTTAAAAACAGCCAAGTTCTTCTAGGCAAGGGTGGTGAGGGACAGGCCCAACCAAGACCTGGTGGGTTTCCCAGTGACTCTCATCGGTTCTGACTTTGATATCTAAAACCAGTCTTCCTCAGCCTTGGTGCTGTGGACTTACTGGTCTGCATCATTCTGTTTGGTGGAGACTGCTGTTCACGTTGTCTCTATTCAACAGATGCCCACTGTTTCCCTTGCCAGTTGTGACATCCAAAATTGCCCCTGGTTGAGAACCATCAGTCAAAGGGTGTATAGGTGAGAGATGGTGGGGGAGGGGCATTGATTCAGCTTCCAGAAGCATCTTCCCAAACAGTATTTCCTCACTCCCAAGGGAAGATGGGATTGGCTATAAACTAGAGAGATTGCCTGGGGTGTGTTGCCGAGAAGTCTCCTAATGGGGTTTTTCTTTCACTGGAAATTTTTAAAAGGGATATTTGCTCTGGAGACCCTCCACCTTGTTATGGACCAATGACAGCTTGTTCCGTCCCATCTAGTTCTCAAATTTTGGTTCATAGCGTGTTTCCCAGCCTTGATAAGTGGTTCTCTTCAGAATGATGTCTCTCCAAATTGCACCCTGTGGCCATGTTCCTGGGGTGTGCACATGTGCAGCACACACAAAACTTGCAGGGGTTGGCTGGTTCTTTCTTCCCACCCTGTGGGTCCCAGGGATCTAAGGTGGTCAGACTTGGTGGCATGGGCAGCAAGCACCTTGACCCGCTGGGCCATCCAGCACAGTTTAGAAACATCAAGAGAGAAGTATTTTAATTTGTTGGAGTTCAAGTGGTCAATGTCCAGGACACAGTTAAATAAATAGCTGCACACGGAGTCCCTGATGGAGCCTCCATGGCACTATTACGACTAGACTACAAGCTGATGGTCAATATCTGGGTTGTATCCCCACCCCTGTATTTACCGGAGTGGGGGTCTTGTTTAAGGAGCCCCTCTTCCCAAGTACCTTCTGTTTGTAGCATGCCTTCTCTGTGTAATCATAGCAGACCACCCCACACCACCAGCCACTTTCTATAGCATCAATTATTTATGCAGTCGATGGCCTGGAGGCCAAGAAGGGACCCAAGATGCGCAAGGGATCTCTAAAGGAGAGGAGGAGAGAGAGGTGGTCAATACTGCATTTACTTAACGGAAACCCCAGGGATGCCAGGCCTTGTGCTGTGGGGAAGGTGGCTGGTTACGGACCTACACATAGGTGGAATTAAAATCCCCAAACTAGCTTAGTATGACTAGTAATGAGCATAGGGTACAGCTGTGCAGACTGGCTTCTTGAAGGTCCAGCCTCTTTCAAAAGCAAGGAGCTGGTGTCCGTGGGATAAAGGGCCGTCTGGGTACAAGGCTTGTTCTGTGGGGATTTTCTAAGTGCCTGCCTTGTACCAGGTGCTGTGTGCTAACACCGGCATCTTCACTAGCAATCCTTTGTGGGGGGATTTGTGCCCCTCACCCAGGAGATATTTGGCAGTGTATAGAAGCCGGGTTGATGAGAGGCATCTTACAATGTATAGGACATCCCAAGGACAAAAAAAAAAAAAAAGACCTGTCCCGGATGTCACATGTGACTTAAGGTTGGGAAAGCTGGGTCTACTAATGAGTAAAAAGATGCTGTCTCTGCCTTTCTGCCTGTGACCCCAGATGAAAACAAGAAGGGAGGAGAGGAGAAAGGGAAGGAGAAAAGAAACAAGGTAGACAAAAAATAATGACAGGCTTGATTAGAGCTCAGCCCACAAGCCCCTGCCTGTGGGAGCTGCTCCGACCTTGGCCCAGTCTGAGCTGATGGCTCTGAGAAGAGCTGGGGGTAGGGGGTGGGGTGGCAGCGTCTCTGCAGGGCCAGGCCTAGTGACATTGGCCTACACATCCTGCTGCTCAAGAGGCTGAGGCAGGAAGATCACCAGTGCAAGCCCTGCCTGGGCTGTGGTGAGTTCAAATCCAGCTGGGGTAAGGTAGTGTAACTCTACCTCAAAATTAAAATAAAAAATAATTTAAAGGGGTCAGGGATGTAGCCCAACAGCTGCTTAGCATGTATGAGGTCCTAGGTTCAACTATAAAAGTAGACAAAGAAAATTAAAAGAATAGGGTGTGTCCTAGCAGGGGAGGAGGGACTGGGTCAGGACTGTCATTGAGCATCTAGAACACACGGAAGAGAGCGTGGCAGGTTGAACTCTCCGGCCTCCCAGGACAGGGACAAAAGGTGAGTTGGAGAGAATGGAGCTCTTCAGGAGGAAGATGGGATGTGTGTGGGAGACAGAGCATGGAAAAGCTCCTTCTGGGTATTCAGGCACATCAGCAGGATGTGCTCCAGGATTCCCTTGGATACCAGCAGCCCTGGTGCTAGCATCCAGCTGGTGTTGAAGGCCCTTCTATGAAACTCACAGTAGTCACACATAGCCTATGCCTGTGCCCTGTGGACTTTAGGTCACTTGCAGTACCTAATACAAAGTCAACGCTTGCTTTGTAATGTCTAGGTAACAACAGGAAACAGGAAACTGTCTGCACATGTTCAGGACAGCCAGAATCTTTTTCTCGAATATTCTTTATCGGAGCTTGGTTGAATCTATGGGTGCAGCAGACTTAGCTGGGACCACAGAATGTACCACAGGTGTAAGGCTGGGAGGCTTCTCCCTCTGCTGAGGGGGGTGGCTTCCTGGAGTGCAGTTGTGTGACCTGGGGTGAGTGTCACAGCCTTGAAGACCCTGTTTTATCACCTGAAAATGGAGGTCACAATAGAGCCTGCTGCTTCATAGGGCATTATGAGGCCCGGCCGAGCCCAGTTTTGGTCTGGAGTAAGTGGTCCGTAAATATTCCCCATTAGACCTTGCGAATTAAAGGAGGAGATAAGGGCTGTCCGAGCACCTGGCCGGTGGCTATCCCTTTAAAACGTCTCTCATTCCCTTACTTCGGAAGAGACCAGATTTACAGACTACAACGGGGTAGAGAGATAAGGTGAGTCTCCATCTCACTGGTCCTCCAGCCGCTGCTGATAGTGTGGCTCATGGCTACTAATCTGGGTCAGGGTTCAAGCAGGTGGCAGAGTGCCTGGAGAGGGACCTCAGTGCCTGGAGAAAGCCAGTGCTGTTATCTCAAGGGCCTGAAGGAGCCTTGAGGGCTACCAGGTTTGAAAAGAGGCAAGTCCTCAGGAAAGTAAGGCCTTACAATGGATTGATCGTTCTCCCTTCATTGTCCCCGTTTTCTAGAACGTCCCTGGTGTCAGAGAGAAAGATGAGAACCCATCAAGTGTTCCCCTTGCCCCTGCTCCTGGTGATTGCCTCGGTCGCTTCAGAGAACGCCAGCACATCCCGGGGCTGTGGGCTGGACCTTCTTCCTCAGTACGTGTCCCTGTGCGACCTGGACGCCATCTGGGGCATCGTGGTGGAGGCAGTGGCCGGGGCGGGGGCCCTGATCACACTGCTCCTGATGCTCATCCTCCTGGTGAGACTGCCCTTCATCAAGGACAAGGAAAAGAGGAGGCCCGTGTGCCTCCACTTCCTCTTCCTGCTGGGGACCCTGGGCCTCTTTGGGCTGACGTTCGCCTTCATCATCCGGATGGACGAGACAATCTGCTCCATCCGCCGCTTCCTCTGGGGTGTCCTCTTCGCGCTCTGCTTTTCCTGTCTGCTGAGCCAGGCATGGCGGGTGCGGAGGCTGGTGTGCCAGGGCACAAGCCCAGCCGGCTGGCAGCTGGTGAGCCTGGCGCTGTGCCTGATGCTGGTGCAGGTCATCATTGCCACCGAGTGGCTGGTGCTGACCGTGCTGCGTGACACGAAGCCAGCCTGCGCCTATGAGCCCATGGATTTTGTGATGGCGCTCATCTATGACATGGTGCTGCTGGTCATCACCCTGGCGCAGTCCCTCTTCACGCTGTGTGGCAAGTTCAGTCGGTGGAAGGTGAACGGAGCCTTCATCCTCATCACTGCCTTCCTCTCTGTGTTCATCTGGGTGGTCTGGATGACCATGTACCTCTTCGGCAACTCAAGCATGAAGCAGGGAGATGCCTGGAGTGACCCCACCTTGGCCATTACGCTGGCAGCCAGTGGCTGGGTTTTTGTCATCTTCTACGCCATTCCGGAGATCCACTGCACCCTTCTCCCACCCCTGCAGGAGAACCCACCCAACTACTTCGACACTTCACAGCCCAGGATGCGGGAGACGGCATTTGAGGAGGACATGCACCTGCCTCGGGCCTACATGGAGAACAAGGCCTTCTCAATGGATGAACACAATGCAGGTAAAGTGGCCACTGCTGGACCTGGGACGGTCCCTGAAAGAGCAGCAGGGACAGATGCTCCCAGACCCAGCAATAGACTCCACCATCATGAGCGGCCTCCATGCTAACACAGGCTCAAAGCTGTTTTCGTGTATCCTTTTCCTCATGCCAATTGCCAACTAATTTGTTATAAAAACCCAAGGGGCAGGGCTGGGGAGGTGGCTCAGTTGGTAAAGTGTTGTCAGGGCAAGCAAGAGGATTGAGTTAGTTCACTCTCTAGAACTCAGAGAAAAGGTACATCTTATTATAATTCCATTGTTGAGGAAGTAGAGGCAGGCAGACCTGATCTGTGAGTCCTAGACCCTAGTATCTCCAAAACAAGAGATCGTTTCTGAGGTTGACCTCTTGCCTATTCACACACACACACACACACACACACACACACACACACCACAATTTACCACCACCACAACAATCATCCAGGTTCCTGGCCTTTAAAAGTCTAACAATGCTGAGCCAGGCTTCCTACATGGCTGCAGGATTTCGGACCTCACTTGAGTCAGTGGGCACTGGAAGGCCAGGCCTCTTGCACACACACACACACACACACACACACACACACACACACACACACACACACCACACCACACCACACACACCCCACACACACTTTTGCCTGCCCTTATCTGGGAATACAATTTCTGCTTTCCGCACTCGGTGCCACTCCCAGCTGATCACCCAGCCATTCCCTAGCTCCCAGTAGGCATTTGAATTTGCAGCCTATGCCATGCACTGCTAGATGGATGCAGGCCACCATGACAGTGCTCCTGGCCTCCTCCACCTCGGTCATCAGATCCCAAAGTCAAATGTTCATGTTCAAACCCTGCCTCTCCCACTCCTTGCTCTGCAACTTTCGGTAGATTACACGGCCTCTCTGAGCCTCCGTTTTCCTAATCTGTAAAATAAAAATAATGGGAGGGCATATTGTGTAGAGGTGTTATAGAAAGTAACACAATGGGGACCAGACCCTGGTGGCACTGAGCATGGAGCTTGTGGGTCTTGCCTGGGGTCTCTTGAAAGAGGAGTCTCAGACACTCAGGGATAGGGGTTCACTTGAGCGGTGGTTCCCGAAAGGAGAGCTCAGAGGCAGGTTGCCAAAATAGTTGCATTTATAATCTGTCTCTGCTACAGCCAGCCAGGCTCAGTCCTGCAGAGACCTTCTGAAGATGTATGGAGAATGAACCCCAGAACTGGCTCACCAGGACAGAAGGCTTGGCATCCATCCACTCTTAACTTCCCTCTACCATCACCAACATCCCTATTACTTGGCTAAATGTTCACAAGCTCCTCTGGGGTCAGACAGAGAAAGCAAATTTGGTGGCAATTGGGGTGACATCTGGGTGACCAAGACTACCTGGTTCTGCTCAGGGGTGAGTTCACAGTATGATGGAGGAGAATGTGGTCACTGGCACCCCAAAGGCCTTGCTGTTGATGTTGGACAGGTACCCCTTAGGACTGCTTAAAGGAAACTGGATCCCACACTGGAGCTTAAATAAGTGACCTTTCTCAGTTTCCCAAAGATGCCTCAGGGGCCCATCAGTAATAGTGAATCCCAGTCCTGGTCAGGCTTGATCACCTGACGTGGTCACATGTTAGCCCGAACTATCTGTGAAGTCAGCCCCTTATGTCTCCTTCAGGATGAATGGGTGTAGGCTGAGGCTCCAAAAAATGGCGTTTCCTGAGGACTTACGACTGGAACGTGGGCCATGGCAGACTGAAATGTAGCAACATTTCTCATTAGCAACATCTGCCCGGTTGCCAGGTACAAGTGTGAGCCATGCTCAGGAGCTGGTCCCTTTACACAGCCTGGCGAGGTTAAGTGTGGAAGCCCGGGGTACAGCCTGCTCCTCCCCTGGAGGCGGGGAAGCATGTGGAGCCCTCGCTTCCTGTACGGCCACTCATATTGTTGTCATACCTAGATGTAGTCGGCTTCCTTTGCGCCCCTGACCCCTGGCCAGACTCATATGTGGGAGGGATGCCAGCAGGCCCTCTCTGGACAGATGGGAAAGTCCCAGTGTGGCCGTAATCCAAGTTACTCTCTTCTTACATAAAGTTCTAGGCCAGGTGCCTGTGTCTGTGGAGATGTTGCTAGGGATTCAGTGTCAGTCCAGCTGGGGGACCGGAGAAGGTGTAGTCATGCTAGAGGTCACCTTGGGAAACCTAGAGACCTCTTCAAGGGGCTGTGGTGACAGAGGAGGGGCCTGGCCAGTCCTGGGGTGCTGGCAGCACCCCCTGTTCTTGCCGGCTTCTCCTGAAGGGCCTCTCTGAGGACCTGGACTCCCGTGGGCCTTGGAAGTAGAGGGAACAAACGGAAGTGGTTGCATACTGCTGTGTCTCCTGGGGAATTGGCCCATCGCTCCGTCTGATTCTGACAGTACCTGTGCCCCCCATCCCGGGGCGAGGCGGGGGGGAGGGGGGGTTAAGAACCAGTGATCGAATGGAATGTTTGATTTCCTTGCAGTAAAACTGGAAGGTCAGAAACACCCAAGCAGTAGTGTTTTAAAAGTAACAATAGATGTGACAGCACCTACCCCAGGACTCACTGAGAGGGGAGAGTAAGTTCAGAGCTAGCCTGGGATACACACCAAGACACACAACTCCCAACAAAACAAAGCTACAAATAGTAGCCAAAAAAATACACCAAGTGCCATTCTGAGCATTTTATTGGCTCCCCTAAATTCAAACAAGAGCCCATGAGGTCTGTTTGGACACTGAGGTGTGAAGGGGCTAAGTACTACCCTGTCTCCAAAACAAAAGTGGAACAGAACTGCACTAAGGCAGGGTGGTCCTTCACCCATCTACCCATCAGAACCACTTGGGCTGCTAAGGAAAAACACCTGCTCTGCCTCCGCCCTGGACCCCCAATTAAGTCTGAGTCTGGGATCTGTATAACTTTTTAGCTCTCCAAGTGATCATAAGGTGTTACTGGGTGGAAACCCTGGGTCCAGGCGCTGGCCTGCCTTTTGGTTTAAGTCAGTGTGATGGAGGCCTTTCTGGGGTCAGTAGATGAAGATTCCCATAGCCTGGGAATGCTGTGGAATTTTCCAGCAGGCACCAGCATTTACTTTTTGGTCCTCTGGCTGCTCTGCCCGCCTCAGGCGTCCCTTGATAAACAGTGCTGCAGTAAGCACTCTTATCCATTCATCTTTCTGCTTTTTGGTCCACTAGCTCCTTGCAAAAGATGTCCTAGATATGAGTCAAATAATCTGCATTTTGAATCTTGGCACACCATGCCAGATAGCACCCCAGAAAGGCAGGCTGAAGTGCCCACTCTGTGTTTGCATTGCAAGACTCTCCCTAAATCTTCAGCAGCCTTGGGTGTTGTCAGACTTTTTTTTTTTTTTAAGATAAGTTGTTCTTGTTTGCTTGCTTGTAGTGCTGAAGATGGGACTCAGCCTAGTGCATGCTGGGTGAATGAGCTCCGTCTCTAGCAGCCCTTATTAGCTCCACCTCCTCCTCTTCCTCCTCCTCCACCTCCTCCTCTTCCTCTCTTCCTCCTCTTTTTTTCCCCCGCAACTTTTAGACTATCAAAAATATAGATCCAATAAAATCACTTGAGACCAGGCAGGGCAGTCCTCAAGACAAAGCTCACACAGAGAATATCCTGGCTGGGCTGTCCTATTCTAGAAACTCTTGCTTTGCTGGCCAAGGACCATCTGGGCACGCTCCTTTGCCACAGTAGGAGCAGCTGTTGGCACCTTTCATGCTGACTTTGGCCAGTTTGTATTTTAGGAACCCAGCACCATCAGGGGCCTTACCCTCGGAGTGGCCAGTGCCCAGAAGCTGAAATGGTCATGTCCTCCTGCGCTGGGAACTTCTGGCCAACCTCTTGGGCTCTCTTTTCTTGACTGTTGGTCCCCTGAGGTGTCATGAGATGGAAGGCGTGTTCTCCAGGCTGCACTGTGGCTCTGGGAAGCTGCGGTGGTCTTTCTCCCAATATTTCCTTCCATCAGTGAGACCTCCATGTAGATAAACGTAGCTGAACTGTGCTCATTAGTACCAATGGGGCATGAGGTAAGTGCTAAGAGATTCAAATACACCCGGAGATGTCACACTTCAGATCACATCTTAGAGAGTGCTAACAAGGCATATGAAACATGCACCTTTCAAAGGCACATGTGTTCCCTCTTTTGTTAGGGACCCTGAGCTCTAAGGTCTTATTAAAGCCAGAGGCTTCTTAGACATTTTGTTTACTGCTGGAGGCTCTCAGTGAAGTGTGGGGGAAGGCGTGGCTAACTTGGCCTCACTTGCAGGGCCTGCATCAGAAAGAGTTGGCATTTGACCAGTAAGCTTATACCTCCACATACCCACTTAGGAATAACATTGCCTGTTCTTCACCTCTGCTGTGAGTTGCATAGGATCAGCTCTGATATTAGTCAAAGGCCTCTGAGATTGGTTACTAGCATTTTTTTATTTATTTTAAATTTTTAAAAATAGAATTTGAATGCTAAATTAGTCAAACAAATAAATGAAAATCCCAAATGCCCAAGGTAGCAGGCTTCAGGAAGGGCTAGATTAAAAAAAAAAAAAAAAAACTCAAGTAAGGACTAAACTCGACTCCTCCCCATCTCTTGGTGGAGGCATCACAGTCCCCAGTAGCTCTGACCTTGTCAGGAATCCCAGGGGAAAAAAAATTTTCCAGAAGGCTTGAGAAAATCCCAGAGTTATTTCTGATTGACTCTGAATGTCCTTCCCTGAACCAGTGTGTTCACAGAGATGGAATGCCCTGATTGGTCAGGCCTGTCACAGGCTGGACCCTGGAGCCCATTCTGAGGGACCCAGAATGCCAAAGGTGCACAAAACCTTTTTGGGGGGGGGGGGGGGGCCTTGGGACCATGGGTAGCAGGAGAGTGGAGGGAGCTTCGGTTTCTCTGAAGAGGGTCTGTTGGAGTGGAGTCCCCCACCTGGACTGGGCTCTGCCCCGCAGGGAAGCGGCTCCTCCTCCCTCTCGTGGAGTAGGAACTGCCACGAGCAAAAGTTCATGTCTAACTGTCCCCCCGTTCCGCTGCTCCCCTGGCAGGCACATGCCCTCACTCAGCACAAGCAACTGCTCAAGCCTTGGAGATGCTGAAGCGAGAAAGGTTTCCTGAGTCTCTCTAGGACTCGGTTTCTTTGGTCCAGTTTAGGATGAGCTATCCTAAGGTCACCGCACACAGCTTGCTTGCTTCGAATCAACTGTAATGGTTGACAGAGCACCTGGACCTGGTGTCGTGGTTAGGAGCAGCCTGTCTCTGCCAGGCTTCCAGTGTGGGCTCTGCCAGCTCTGTGACCTTGGCTGTGGTACTTAGCCTTTATCTGTTGTAAAGGAAACAATAGCGTCTGCGACGCCATGAGAACTGACCCTTTCTACGTCACTTCTCGCGGCACCTGGCTCTACGGTACTTCTGTCTGACTCCCGCCCCAAATAGGTTGTACAGCTCCCAAGCTGTCTTGCTGCGTTTCCTCGGGGAAGACTTTTAAGTAAAGCCTTTCTCTAGCCAAGCAACATTAGCACTTTCAGTGAAACTGCAGATGTCATCTTGCCCTTAAGATTTCCATCCATAGCCGGGCGGTGGTGCCGCACCCCTTTAATCCCAGCACTTGGGAGGCAGGGCCAGGTGGATCTCTGTGAGTTCGAGCCAGCCTGGTCTACAGAGCGAAAGCCAGGACAGGCACCAAAACTACACAGAGAAACCCTGTCCCAAAAAAAAAAAAAAAAAAAAAAAAAAAAAGTTTTCCATCCACTTGTGAGGATGCAGAGGATAGAGCCTAGGCCTCAGGGGTGTTAGGCAAGGGCTCTGCCACTGAGCCAAAGACCACATTTTAATTAGAATGCATCGTTTGGTGAGTTTTGACAAATGCACTGTGACCTGTATCCACCTTGTAGTCTCACACAGATGGTTTCACTATCCTGAAATGGTCCTCTTGCCCTCCTCTCCATTCCTCCCCACGCAGCCCCTGAGCACCACTAACAGCTTTCACTTTCTGTCATTGACATGGTGTGAGAAGCCCTCACGGGCTGGCTCCTTTCACTCAGAAGCATACATGAGGTTCTTCGTGGCTTTTCAAGTTGGTTTTTCTTTGTTTAAAAGGGGGAAGCTTAATTTGGGAGAGGTGCCAGCACCTGAGGCTGTGGAGGTGACGTACTTGCTGTACACGCATGAAGATTTGGGCTTTATCCCCAGAGCCACTGTGTGATGCTTGCTTGTCATCCCAGAACTGGGGAGGTGGAAACAGGTGGATCTCTGGGACTCCCTGGCCAGCCAGCCTAGGCAGTGAGACACTGTCTCAAAAAAAACAAGGCGCGGGCTGGAGTATAGTTAAGAAGAGAGTTGATACTCTCCTAGAGGATGAGTCCACTTCCCAGTGCCCACATGGGGTAGCTCATAACCTCCAACACCTTCTTTGGCCTCTGAGGATACCTGCTCAAATGTACACACACACACACACACACACACACACACACACACACACACACAAACATGGAGTACACTAACTAGCTGGATGTGGACCCCAGCACTTGGCATGTGGCATCAGGAGGATCAGGAGTTCAAGACCATCCTTGACTTCAGAATGAGTCTGAGGCTAGCCTGGGCTACCTTAGATGCTGTCTTTAAGAAGGATGGCAACTCAGAAACATCCTGCACCTACTTTAGAGATAGAGTACTAACTCTGCCATCATTGCTTCGGATTCTTTATTCCTATCTTGGGGTCATTTGAGGGTCATTTTCCAATGATGGCAGCAATCACTGGCCTATGTTTTTAGCAGTCCCCCAGCTCTGCAGCATCCAGAAATAGGGACTGCTTTTAACTGATACGGTGCATACAGACCTGTACATATGTGCAAAAGAGACCTGACAGCCCAGAGGTGACTGCCACCCAGCCTGGCTGGAGCTGTTTGGGGAGAGCAGGACTCATAAAGTTCCCAACCCTCCTGAGGCTGGATCCTCTCCTAGAGGCTGGAGAACAAAGCCCCTTTGTGACTTCTGTTTTGAATCAGGCTTGTGACAAAGGGGAGGAGCCACTGCGGTGGGTGGATAGAGGTACCCAGAGGGGAGGAGCTGGTTGTTGCAGAAAAAAACAAAATTCTCTCCCTCCCACCTTTCTCCCTCTGTTTCCCTCCCCCCTCACTCTCTCCCCTTCCCCCCCCCCCATGTTGTCATCCTGGAAACCCCTTCCTCAGCTCGATCAGCAGCAGGCTTTTCCAATGGAAGCTTGGGGAAAAGATCCGGTGGCAGCCTGGGAAAGAAACCCAGTGGCCTGGGAAGCCGGCCCAGCGCACCTTTCAGAAGCAATGTGTATCAGCCGACCGAGATGGCTGTCGTACTCAATGGCGGGACTGTAAGTATCAAAATATGATGTCTGGGCAGGAGGCCTGGGAGCGTCCAGTGTGGGGCAGCTTCGGCTGGGTGTACCTGGAGGCTGCTTCTCTGGGCTGCCCATTGCAGCTCCATGCATGCATGCCTTCTATCTTTGTCTGGCCCCCTCGACCACCTTTCTTCACATAAGAAAAACCCACCCACACTCAGAAAGCCATCTGTAGATGCCTACCTACTGCTTGGGGCTCTTTCCCTGGTGGATTTTCTTTCTTGAGTACAGTGCCCCAACCCTCTCCCAGGAAGATGACTAAGGAAAAGCATCTTTCTTATGAGGATGCTCTCATCTTTGTTGACATCCGCCCTAGTTTAAGCCCCCTGGTCCCTACTCCATCCAGTACCCCCGGGCTGGGCACTGGGTCCCCCCTACCCCAACTCCCTAAGAGACATCCTAGGAAATTGAAATTGTTTCCCTCAAACACCAGAGCAGCTGTACTTACCTGTCGCCAAACAGACCCGCAGCAGAAAGTGTCACCTTTTGCTTTTTGCCTCTGTTGGAATGACTGTTTCATTCCAGCAAAATCCAAAGAGGCGCTCATTCCTACATCTCCTTCCAGACATAGCTCTGTGCGTCTCAGAAACAGTGCATGAGCCAGTTCACATGGACACATTTGATTTCCATTCTTCATTTTGTGCCAATTCCATAATTCAACCTGATCTTTTGTTTTCTTTCTTTCCTTCTTAATAGACCACCAGGGACGGTCTTCAGTCCCTGAGGGAGGGAATTTTGGTTTTTCTGGCCTGTGAAGGCTCTGCTAGTATCTGGTTCCCTTTGCTTTGAACAGGCTGTAAAACAAAAAGAAACACAGATTTGTGTTCTTAAATCCCCTTACCACCTCCTAGGCTGTTTCTTTGTCCTGGGGCCAAGAAAAGCCTGACTTAACTGTGACCACTAGTCCTCAGAGGGGCCAGCCCATGCATTGTAATCAACACAACCTGTCCATCATTCTGAAGTCCTCTTGGTTCCTTCAAGGCCAGTGCAGAAATGGAAACAGAAGATTTACCAGGTGGCTACTGTAGGGTCTTGGGGTGAAGTTCAATGGTAGGACTCTTGTCTAGCATGCCCAAGGCAATTAATGCTGTCCTCGTCACTTCTTAAAGCACCGAGTTTCTGAGTGAGGAGTATGGCCCTGAGGGTGGGTGACATGAACCTCCAGTACATTTCTGGGGATAACTCAACCCCCCAGCCCCCCACAGGTAAAAGCAAGGGAGATTGATGCATCAGTTTTTAATGTTGACTTTGCAGAGTTCTCAGTACTTGTCCTTATGTTATTCCAGATCCCAACTGCTCCGCCATCTCACACAGGAAGACACCACTGGTGAAAGACCTTAAGTTCCAGAGAATAAGAATCTCTCTTACCGATTTTATTCCCTGGCTGTGTCTTTCTTGAGGGTGAAGTCAATAACCATGGCTGAGACAGGCCACCTGGAAGCCAGGAAATCTGGGGATTTCGTGTAAATGTGACATACAGATGAACTGGAAAGCTAACAGTGACCGCCCTCCCCTATCCTGCCACACACACACACACAAACACGGAATCGTCCTGCAAACTAAATCAGAGCTAACTGCCAATAGTCTTAGGCTCATTCAGAGAAGCGTGGCTAGGAAACTGTTTCATCCATCGGGGGCAGGACAGAAAAGAATTCACAGCTGGTGTGCCAGGCTGATGTTGGCTTATATGAGGGGTTTGAGCCAGCCTGCCACCCCCTACCCGAGTGCTGGTCCCCTGGGAGGTCTTTTGGAGATAACAGTGCCCTTGAGGTTAGCTCATGGACCCTTCTCCCTGGCTTGCTTGCTTGGTGGCCTATGCAGTTCAGGAGACTTTAGGAGGCTGTGGCTGTGATTCCAAAGTAAGGCCCAACTGGACGATCAGGGAGCTGTGTAGCCGGTGGGGTGGGGGGTGCACAGAACGTGCCAAAGAGGGGAAGGTACTCGAGACCTTGAAGCGACCATCACATTTAGACAGTGGTGAGCAACCACTGATTCATCTCCGGGCCTCTTGCTCTAGCAAGCAGCCCACCCACCCCCTCCCTTACAGAGTGAGAAGTCCCCTTTCCGCTCGCCGCACTCCACGCCGGTGCTGCTCCACGCCCCTTCCCCGATTTCATTCCCATGTTCATTTCAGAAGCTCAGCTAGGGCCACCAGCTTGAAGCTTCAGGGGAGTCAGGCTGAAAGGCAGGCACCCTAGCAGCCCTTTCACAGTGTCCTATGGCTGAGCTCCCCAGGGGTTGATCTCTAGGATGGAGAGATGGCATCCTCATGTCCAGCAGCCAGTGACTTCTGGTGTACTTTCCCTTGGTGTGGCTAGAAGTCCAGGATAGAATGAGTTCTGTGAAGGTCTCTTGCTGCTTTCAGAGGGTTTAGAGAACATTTTAATCTTGGTTTTCCGATGGTTCTATGAAAGTGGCCCTCTTCACAGCCGTCATTTGTCATGGCTTCCATCTGTCCTGAGCAAGTCATTCCGTTGTCGCTCGGCATCTCCAGCATCCCTGCCATTAAAAGCCCTGTGTTCTCTGCACTGTTTGGCCAGGATAATCTCGAGCAGCCTTTCCACGCTGAGTGTGAACCTGACCATATGGACTGTACAAACAAGGGTAGGGCCTCTGCATACACTCTAATGGCTATCTTGCTTTTTCTACAAAAACTACCCATAAGCCTTTAACCTTTAATGAAAGCAAAATTTCAAAGGTTAGTATTTGGGGGTGGGGGTGGGGACTGACCTCCTCTTAAGCCAGTACATCTGAGCTGAGTGTTTTAATAAATCTGATTTTTCTCAAGACCCCAGTCTCTGCTGTATCCCCTCCCTGCCCTACCCTGTCTTTGCAGAGCCTTAGGGAGATGAGGCCAGTCTGGCTAGTGCTTGGCTCTCCTGCAAGTTTTCCTTACAGTTAGTGCATCACCATGCATGGGAACCAGAAAGCATGGCACCCAAAGGTCTCCCCTTCCCCCCTTCTGGGATGCCCCACCCCCATTCAAGGCATGTGCTTGCTTCCAGAGGATTTGAATCAGTCCTTTATGTTTAAGGACCATCATGTGGTGGGCTGAGAACTTAGAAGCTTGAGGAGGGGTTGGAGGGAAAGAAAGCCAGGGCTGCGTGGGGCTGGAAGCTCTTGCATGCACTATCCAGCCTTCTGCAAAGAAATCTCCGAGCACCTCGGGCCGGGCGGGCGACAAACATCAGCGCTCCACATTCTTGTGCCAGGAAGTGGCTGCCCACCCCCGCTCTCTGGAGTCCTTTGGAGCTTTCTGATGTCACCAGTGACTTGGTCTGCAAAATCCCCCCTTGCAGAAGGGAGAAGCTGACATGATTGGTGGTTTTCTCTCTAAGCTCTTTGTTGTCCGCGTATAAGGTGAGCACCGTCCTGATAGCTGTGCAGAAAGCAGCATTTCTGCACTGCAAACACAGGGCCGTTCTGAGCCACAGGAGGCCTCACATAGCGAGGTCTTTCAGTTTTGCTTTTTTTTTTTAAATCTTTCCCACCCCAATAGGTGATTGCGCTTCTGGGCTTTGTTTTATCTTGGCTAATTTAAGGTTCAGGGTGGGCTGAATGTTCTTAGACGGGAGGTGGAGGTTGGAGCAAAGGGAGAAGGGAGACGTCCGCTATTCTTCTGATGAGTTCAAGTTCACCTGAAGAGGACCACAAGGCAACTCCACCCAGAGACTGCAGCCAGCTTCCGACAGAACGAGGCTGAAGGACAGACTTCCATGGCACCTGTATAAGAGTGGGGAATGGTCTAGAAAGTCATCTGTGAATAACCTCAAGCTGTAAGCACAACCTAGCATGCCAGGGTAGTAACACCTTGTTGGGACTATGACAGCTCCTCTGTCTCCTAAAGGAAAATCCCACAGTGTTCTGGAGTCTGTTGCCAAGGTGGCGGGACAATGGCAAAGGGGACAGGCTCCCATGTGTCAGCTGTTTCCAAGGTCAAGATCTGGTTGGTGTCCACCCCACCCCCACACAGATGAGGTCAAGGCCAGCAAACAAGTGCAGACAGGGTGAGAGGGGTCGTCTTTTGAGTTTGTCAAATTGAAAAGTAGAAGAGGACGCTGGTATTTACACATCCAAGGATGTGGCAACCATATGAGCCCATGAGAGCCCCTGGCAGGTGCTTTTTATTCATAAAGAGCTATGGCTCATTTTTTGATAGATAATATATATTTATTAAATGTATTAATGTGTATTTTATAATGTACCCTCACTCTTCCCCCACCCTGGCTGACTTGCATACTTATGAACAAAATTGTTTGGGAAATTTCAAGACAATCAGTATGTACATATAAATATCACAGATTGAAAAAGTTGTTAAGCATGGGCAGATAGGTTTTATTTTCAAAATGCTGTTCTTAACAAGAAAATAAAGGCTTTACTATTTACCTAAGATGTGTGGTAGCTTGTCAAACAGTCTTATACTACCAAGGAGGCTTTCCTGTGTCTGGGGCCTTTCAGATGAGAGAACCCTCTTGAGCAGCGGTCATAGACAGATGAGGACCATTAAATTAACAGGACGCTGCTGTAACACTTCTGGGGCTTTGACGATGGAAATCCTTTGCAATGACTGTCTCTTCTTGAGCTGGAAACACAGCTCAGTTCTCACGCCTTGCCTCGTGTTAATTCAACGACAAAACCAAGACAGAACTAACGCAGAGGTTTGAGATAAATTAAAATACGGGCCTTGGCGAAAGTGGGAAAACTGGTGACAGGAACATCGTCACTAGGCACGTCAACTGTGGCGGTGGCTCAGAAGGGTCCTCCTGACACAGTGGAGAAGCGGGTGGAAAAAGTAGCATTGGGGTAAGGCAGGAAGCTAAGGGACGCTTTCCTAAACTGCGCTTAAGCTCGTCTGCAACAAACCCGGTCTGTGTGAGAAGGTTCTGTGTCCACCACACTAAGGGAATGTGCAGTTTGGGCATGGAAGGACTGGCGTCAGTTAAGGAGGTGGTCCAGAGGCAGCAGGCACTTCCTCGTCGTCCATTTTACATTTCACTGCAGAGAGATGAGAGAGAGTCAGGGTCAGTTGACACACCCAGACAGACCTGCCACTTGGAAACTGGAAACACTGACGAGGTGGACAGGGTCATTTACAACAAACCCCACTGAAACCCCGTCACGGTTCTGGCCCCTCAGACACTGGGAGGAACACAGGTCCACTGTGTTCCAGGATTTCACCTGCAGGCTTGAGCCACCTCTTCCCACCCCCTCCGTTTATGGCAGTTTGGAGTTTGGAAAAAAGATGGATGGGGTACGGGGTGCATTGTGGGTTAGAGTGCTGAAGGGAGTTTTACTAAAGATGATAACAGATTCAGCCCAATCCATTACCTGGCACCATTTCATTAAAGGGGAGTTAGCTGGACCCAGAGCATCGCATTCTGTGTAAGAGAAATTAATCCCAAGAGATGAGATGCTGTCCCCAATTATGGAAACCCAGCCTCTGGAGGGGGGAAATTCTTTCAGAAAGAACTCTCTTTTTAAAATGTATTATTATTACTTATTATTAATGTTGTTTTTGTGGTGCTGGGGATGGAACCAGCACTCATCACTGAACTATATTCCCACTGCAAAGATCTTCAATTTGCGTGTGCCTGAGGATGCACATGTGTGCACCTGTCTTCGAGGCCAGCCTCAGGTGTCGTTCTCAGGGACCACTGCCTTGCTTTTTAAGACGGGGTCTCTCATTGGCCCGGGGCTCATGGGGAAGGCAAAGCTGGCTGGCGGAAAGCCCCATGGGTCCTCTGGGACTACAAGAACAATCCCACTGTGGCCTGCAGTTTATTACATGGGTTCTGAGGATCGAACCCGGGTCCTCACGCCAGCACTGTAAGCAGTTCACAACTGAGCCATCTCCCCTTCTGAGCTCCAGTTGTTAAATGTCTTTGCCTCCTGTAACTTCCCTCCTGTGTTAATGCCTGAAAGGCTATTCATGAGTGTTCATGTGCCCTAGCTTGTGAAGTGCACATATTCTAACAGGAATTGGGGTTTGGACCATTACTGTGTAGCACAGAGGTCTCAGCCACAACCCCCAGTCCACGCAGAAACTTAGGGCACACACCCACCAGACACAAGCATAAGGTGAGGGCTGCAGTGGTCACCACATGGGTCATTTCTTGATGGCAGTGGTGTGAGGCTTTCCTAGCGCTCAGAGTCATTCTGAGATCAGCCCAGCTCTTAGCTGGGACAGGTTCCAGGGCAGACTCCGTTAGAACATCCTTGCCTTCTGGCCCACCTTGGCTAGGCAGAAATCTCCCCAGGGGCCAGACTAAAAGGTAATCAAGGGTCCCCAGAATCCTTTCCTCTATTTCAGTCGCTGTGATGACTTGGTTTTTCGAACTACTAATAATAATTATATAAGTGAGCATGCCTAAATCTCAGAATCTGAAATCTAACAAGCCCCAATCCAGCACTTTGTGAACACTGACCTGATGCCACAGATGGAAAATTCCACATGTCTTAACTCTGTGGAGTGCACAGAATTATTTTTTTAAATTCCATTAAATTATGTGCATACTATATGTATGAGTGAATATGAAATCTAAATGAATCTAGTCTTCAGACTTGAGTCCGAGCCCAGGATTCAAATGTAGGCATTTTAAAATCCGAATCAGTCTCTCTCTCTCCCCGATCTCTCCCTCCTCTCATCCTTTGAGACAGGGTCTTATTAGGTAACCTTGGCTGACCTGAAACTTGCCATGTAGTCCAAGTTAGCTTTCAAATAAGAGACCTGCCTGCCTCTGTCTCTCAAGGGCTGGGATTAAATTAAAGGTATGGGCCACCACAAGTGATTCTCAACCTGTATTAACACTAGCCAGAATATTTTTAAATATTGGGAGCCTGTAAGCAAAAAAAAAAAAAAAAAAAAAAGTTTTAAATACACAGGTGGACAGTTCTGCGGGTACAGAAGGCATCTGCCTCTAACCCTGCTGCATCCAGGGTAGAAGGACAGAAGCAACTCCTGAGAGTTGTTCTCCCAACTTCACACATTCCATACACACACACACACACACACACACACACACACACACACACACACACGGACACGGACACGGACACGGACACGGACACGGACACACAGTTAATAAAGTGTTATTACAAGCACAGATGCACCTCTTTTGTTGACTTTACAGGAAGCTGCATGAAGATGCTACATGCAGCTAGGAATCCAGAGCCTATTAACTGACATTGGCCGGGCGGTGGTGGCCCGCGCCTTTAATCCCAGCACTTGGGAGGCAGAGCCAGGCAGATCTTTGTGAGTTCAAGTCCAGCCTGGTCTACAGAGTGAGATCCAGGAAAGGCACAAAGTTACACAGAGAAACCCTGTATCAAAACAACAACAAAAAAATGACATTGGTCCTTTGAAGCCAGGGATGCTCTACATTTTTTTTCAGTGACCCTCTCCCACATCCTCTGGCCTATGAAATCCCGGGCTGTAAAAACTGTGACTGATTGGGTGCTAGGTGCTGGGAAAGGTCTTCATCTGGAGCATTTGCCAGGTTTAGGGTCCATTTCAAGCCACCAACGTGGTGACAATACAGGTGGGAAGAGAGGCAATAATCCCACACAGCAGGACTGCACTGGATCCCTGTTGGTGAACTTGAGCAGCAGCATCAAGTGGCTCTTCAGACCTGTGAGATCCTTCTCAAGTGTGATCAAGGGATGTCCAGTGGAGAGGGCTGTTAGAATTACAACTTCAAGGCCTAGGATGGTTGGTTTTAATTGTCAGCTTGACATAATCTGCATGCTGGGAAAGGAGTTTCAGTGAGGGATTGTCTAGATTCAGGTGGACTTTGGACATCCCTCTGAGGGCTAATTGCGTTCATTAAAGTTAGAAGATGCACCCTGAATGTGAACAATGCTATTTCGTGGGCTGGGCCCTGGACTGAAAAGAGCGTGAGCTGGCTCAGGCATGCATGCATGCATTGCTCTCTGCTCTTGAAGTGTGACCAGCTCTTTCAGGCTCCTGCCGCTGTGACTACCCTGCAACAGTGGACTGTGACCTGGAACTGTGAGCTAAAATAAATCCTCCCACCCTAAACTGCTGTTGTCAGATACTTTATCATAGTAACAGGAAACTATGGTAAGGCCCCAACAGATCCACAGAGAGGAGCCCAGGGACCTGCATTTTAACAAGCCCCCAAGTGACTGATGGATGCTAGTTACAGGTGTCAGACCCACAACCAACAGGTTCTACACCCTGACTCCATATAAGAACCACATGGTCATTTTCCAAAGATGATTAGTGTCTGGGCCTCACCCCAGAAAATGTGCTGTCATTGGCCTGAGCCCCAGGTATTAGTATTCATAGGGGTTCCTGTGTGCCACTAATGTCCAATTAGAGTTGAAAACAGGTTATGGTTGTAATCACTTTCAAGAAACATGACTATAGCCCTCACAGTCTAGAATTCCTCTCAGCTTGATGCATCACTTCGGTTCCTGTAAGTCTCCAAACTAAACTGATCTACAACTGTCAGGTAAGTGTACAGGAGGCTGTTAGCAAGTGAAGGGAAGACTTGGCTTCTGGGAAGAATTCCCAACCGCTGAGTTTCCTTAAATTTCCCTCTGCTGAACCTGAAGAATTCACCTGTGTACCTCTGTCCCTGGTTCTAACTAGCCCCACCCATCCCACTCTACCTCTTTACCCTATGCTTTGGCCTTGCTCTGGAAAAGGCCCTCACTTTTTTCAAGGCATCACACAGACACCTTGAGGCCTGAGGGGTCAGGATTGAGCTAAGGATGTTTCTTCAAAACAGACAGCTGAGTGACAGTGTCTAGAGTTAAGAGGCTGAAAGTAAAGGTAGATTGTGGCCTCACAGTGGAATCATCTGGTGAGCTTGGACCATCCCCATTCCTGGCCCTGACTACAGATATATCAATTTCTTCTAGATGGGCAAGCACATTAGGAAAATGTGTTAGCAAAGGAAATTGAAGGTCATGATAAATACAGGTGACACCATATCTGTGTTCTGTGCTGAAGGCCCTGAATGCATGAACCATGAGACGAGAACTTAATTGCTCCTGACATGGGGCTGGGCAGATGGCTCAGTGGTTAAAGTACTTGTTGAACAAGTGTGGTGACCAGAATTTGGATCCCTGCACCCACATGAAAGCCAGGTGGGCTTGGCAGCAGACATCAGCAGTGCAGGCTGACTAGGCTGGACCTCCAGGTTCAGTGAAAGACCCTGCCTCAGTTAAAGTACAGAGTGATCAGACCCCCACCTGTGCACGCCCATGCCCACACTACACACAGTCATGCATACACACACACACACACACACACACACACACACACACACACACACACACACATACAAAAGCCAAAATAACTAAGTAAATGCCCTCTCACAGCAGCAGAAGACAGGAAATGACTGTCAGCACACAGGAGAGCATTACTCCCTCTGAGCAGTGAGTGATTCTACAGCAGTGAGCATGCATGAACCACGGCTCCAGCTCACATTGTTAGTCTATTGATACTGCAGGGTAGTTGCATGGTAGGCTCAGAACAATCCGGAGTGTAGCTCTAGCTTTACAGCAAACCTTGGTGTTGAGGGAAGCATACTCAAGTTCGGAACTCGGAGGAAACACAGCAAGAGTACCACAAGAGTCGGGCCTGTGGCTTCACTGTCCAAGGAAGAAACTCAAAGGTGTTGACTTTGAGCCACACATGGTGATGTACACCTATAATCCCATTACTCAGGAGGTGGAAGCAGAAATATCACAAGTTCAAGACTAGCTTGGGTTACATAGCAAAACCTTGCCTCAAAGGAAAAAAAAAAAAAGGAAGAGTGTTGACAGTACCCAACTCTGGGTGGTGGCTACAGGATGTTCACTCTATAGTTCATGTGTTATATCACCACCCATCTCTAGAAGTAAATAAAAACAACGACAGTACATATTCTACTTGAAATCACAAAACCACAATAAAGGACTGGGAAAGTACATTATTGGTTGCTTGAGCTCATTCTCACCTGTCATACGTCAATAAGGAGATAATA